GTTTGGCAGAAATGTCCAGGCAACTACTCCTTTCTCTCTGCTTTATTTTTGTTTCTTTCAGCATCTACTTTTCTTCTGGTTTCCAAGTAGGACGCAGAGCAACAACTCCAGATTTAAAGGATTGAAGGCTTGAGAAAGAACAGATATAGGAAAGCAGGCAGCCAACTGTACCTAACATTAATGTCCACAACACGCCAAAGGCCCTAAACAGGTAGCTAACAAAGACTTTCTTGTGCCTCCATTCACTAGACGAATAAACACCTAGAGGTCCAAGAGGACTCCAGGAAAGGGATGCTGCTGAACCCTATCACCACCTGAAGGAGTTTGACATACTTTGGCCCAAGCCTAAAAATCCTAGGGCCTGAGTGGAAGATGGATGATCTTTTAGTCCCATAAAGACAGTGATACCATATCAAAACCCATGCCCCACACACAGAACACATACAACCCAAACAGCTAGAGACCAACCTGACAACCCATGTCCATGTAGGACAGCAGATTTTTTTCCTTGCCTGGCATCCATGAAGACTGAGCTGAGGGTGAATAGTCTGTCCCCAGAGGCTACAAGGAAAAAGACATGTGGAAAGCTAAGACACTTTCTTACAACCTATCCAACTCAGTCCACAGACTTCAGACTGGAAATACAGAGTTCTCAGGAGAGAACTAGGTGGGGAGGGAGGGAGCCAGACCTCAGCAAAGACAGTACTAACTGAATTTTAGACCTTTTACTTTTCTGTATTTTTCCTGTCTTTAAAAATGTAGTTTAAGTTATAGTTACCTTTGGCAGTTTAGAATTAGCTGGGTGTTTAGAAATAGAGACATTAATTCCTAATTGTTTTCTTCATTAGAATAGATTACATAGTTTCTTTATTCTCTTTCCACTTCATACCTTGTGTTCTTTTACTTGTTCTTTCTCTTTTCTCTATAAATTTATATTGATTTTTCATACTGATCTTTCTACCAAACTATTCCTCTCTACCATTCCTTACTGCCCTAATCTTTTCCATTAATTATCACTACTATCATCTGTCCCCAGGATGGATGAACTTTATACCTACATTGAACTACTTTTAAAACCCCTGAACCCATGCATAAATCACATGAAAAGGTTTTAAAAATTGGTAAGTGAGAAAACATGCCATCATAAACCAACACCACAGGAGAGGATGTAAGTGAGAGTAAGGAAAGATTAAACAAAGTGAGAATGATTGATATAGCTGATAATATGGAAGAGAGGAATTTAAGAATTTAATAATTTAATTAAGAATTTTAGAATTCCAAAAGAAGAGAGAGAAAGAGCCAGATGAAATGAAGACATTTCAGGACACAGGAGAATAATAAGATAGAAATCATAAAGAACTTTCAAAACATATGAAAGACATTATGAAAAGCTAGGAAGCTGGATAACTTTATCTTCCTATTACAAAAAAACAGTTCAAAGTTCAGTCAGAAAAAGAATTTGAAAACAGGTTATCAGGACTTGACATTAAATCAGGGGAATTAGAGCAAACAAAGGCACTGAAAAATCACAGAATACGAAAGGAGCATTCAAGTACTAACAGATTCAGTCTGATTAAATCTACAGGTAATTGGACTAGATGAGGAAGATAAATAAAATCTAAAGGCATTGAAAACTTATTCAAGAAAATAATAGAAAACTTTTAACAGCCTTAAGATATCTTATCTTGACAAATATGTAGAAGTTAAAAAAACAAACCAGGGGCTGGGAGGTGGCTTAGTGATAGAGTATGTGCCTTGCATGCTCTTCTCAGCACCACATAAGCAGAAAAAAATGGAAGTGGTACAGTGGCTCAAGTGGTAGAATGCTAGCCTTGAGCTGAAGAGCTCAGAGACAGTGCCCAGGCCCAGAGTTCAAGCCCCACAACCGCCAAAAAGTCCACAAGATTCATAAATTAAGTATCAAAAAAAAAAAAAAAAACAGATGGAGGGTGACGGTTCAAGTAGTAGAGCACAAGCCTTGAGCCAAGAGACGGTTCCCTAATTTTAAGATCCAGAAGCAGCATAAACACACACACACACACACACACACACACACACACACACACACACACACACACACACACACACACACACACACACACACACACACACACACACACACGAGTCAGTTTGTTACCAGGATGTGTTAAACCAGTCTGCTCTACCAAAGTATGCCACCACCTATGGATGAATGTCAGGCAACTAGGTGTATGCCCTGAACTTTGAGTACTTCGAGTCTCCTTGAGAAGCTGGGGAAAGAGGTTTTGCTTCATGATAACCCTGGAAAAAAGTGAATGCGTCACTAATCATTTGCTGGCCACAGGTTTTGGGGTCAGTGTGAAAAACGCACTCCATTGCCTAATTTGGGCAAGATCTGAAAATGAGCAGCATGAAACTGTACACCTTGCAAAGGAGTGGTAAACCCTTAGAAGAAAGGAAACAGGCTGGGCAAGGAGTAGCATGGGAATGCTAGTGACACGGAGTTCCCTTTGTCCTCTAGAAATGCTACATTCCTGCCCATTTTCAGGAAGTTTATGTAAGCATTCCCCATCTGCAGGATGGATGGGCTCCAGAGCAGCACTGTGCTAGTTGGCCAAAACAGTTTGCCAGGTAGCTCTATTTCTTCTTCCATGCTGGCTAAGCTACTGTAGGGTTCTAGAGCTTATAGTTCTTTCCCTACAACCTTTAGACTGTGTTGGCAAGGCTAATTTCTCAGGCCTTGCTGCCACTGGAGACTTGTCTTCCTCCTGTGGGCCATGGGAGAGCAATGAGTGGCACTTTCTTGCAACCTCAACCAAGAAACAGCTCTGCACACTGCCTCTGTACACTGTCTCTTTTCCCTACTACTCACACTTTCCAGCACTCTACCACTTGAGGCACAGTGCCACTTCCAGTTTTCTGGTGGTTTATTGGTGATAAGAATCTCATAGACTTTCCTGCCTGGCTGGCTATGAACCATGATCCTTAGATCTGAATGTCCTGAGTAGCCTGGATTATAGGCATGAGCCACCAGCTTCAGGCACTTACACTTTTTTAATTTGACATAAAACTTTAATGAAAAAAAATACACAATGCTTTTAGTCAATTTATTGACATTATTGACTTCTTGTGACATATATTTTCTAATTACAGAATAACTAATGATAATAATTATTTTCTTCTTTTGTTCATGAAAGCACTTCAGTTTTCAATCCTGAAGAAAAAAAGGAAGGAATAGTTAAAGCAATTTGCGTATTTCCTATAAAATTATGTATATATAATAGAATATATATGTATGTATATATAGGTATATATAAGTATGGATAATATGTATGGATATATGTAATATATACATGTATAATGTGATATATACATACATGTATGTGTAGATATATAGATTTGTATATATATGTTATATACATACATATGTACATTAATATATATATACATATATACATGTTTGTTTGCGCCAGTCCTGTGATTGAATTTAGGGCCTGAGTGCTGTTCCTGAGCTGCTTTTGTTCAAAGATAATGTTCTATCACACCACCACTTCTAATTTTTTCTGAGAAAGTTTGTTTTATAAAGGTAAGAGTTTTACAGACTTTGTTGCCCAAACTGCCTTCAGATTCCTGAGTAGCTAGGATTACAGGAATGAGCAACTGGCACCTGACTAAAATATGTATTTTTAATTGTACAAAGATATAAGTTCCAATTTAATTTGAAATCCATTATCTCCAAAATTTATAATCACACTGTCATTCAGTATGATGTTTTCATAGATAGCCTTACTTCAGGACATTTAAAAATCTATAACAATATAATTGATCATTTTGTTGAATATGCACCAGTATGTGATATAATTGTTTCATTTTTAATAAACAGCTCTAAAGAGGGATTTATATGCAATTTTTGCATGTTTAGAAATTATAAAATGTAAAATACCAATTCAGAGACATGTATCTCTAATTTTGGATGAGATATGAAAGAGTCCAGGGCACTGAATATTAATAAAGACAAACTTTATTTCTACATAAAGAATTAAGTTATTCCTTAGGTTAAAGCACATTATGAGAAATAAAAAAAAGTTTAAACAATTTTGTCCTACATTCTTCATAAATATATTCATAGTTACAATTTCAACATGCACAGGTATATAATTTTCAATTGGTAAACTGTCTCTGAAATTATCAGTTCCAGTATTTTCCCATAATTTAAAAAGAGGTCAAAAATAGAAATTTGAAATAATCTGTCTATATTTCTCTATTTAGAGGGCAAAGCCAGAACTAAAACCTAGAACTTAATGTCTTTTCCATCTCTTCTATTTCTGCTTCTTGCTAATATGACAGTAGTAATATTTTAAATTATGAGATTATATATTTATGTACATAAAACAGGATAATTACAGATGAAGGCCACTGTATATACTGTTTCCCACTAATTTGATTTGACTTGTAATCCCTCCTAAAGGTCAATATATTAAATACTAGCAGCAATAGGACTCTGAAAGGTTCTCTTATTTTAGCTATCTCCCATGTTAAAGAACAATAGTAAGATACTTATTAATCTTTAAAGTGATTTTATAACTATATTTTTCATACACTGTCCACATAAAAGTCTCCTTACTAGATCCTATTACACATATTTTAATGTTTTAATAAAATTCTGTCATGGTCTGGCTAGTGAAACTATTAAGACTCAAAGATGATATTTTGCATTTTAAAACAAAATCATAGTTAGATGGGTGCTGGTAGCTCACATTGGTAATCCTAGGTACTCAGGAGGCTAGCCCAAGCCCCGAGTTCAAGCTCTAGTATCAAAAAAAAATCATAATTTGTACTTGAACCCACAATAAAATCTTTATGTATACAAGCAAACTCTTATGAAATGAAATTTAATGATAATACATAATTTAGCTTAATAGAATCAACTAACCTGTAGTTTCTACCACTTTATGCCATGAGTTGTTTGAGAATTTACACCTGTAGGACCAAAAACAGGACCCTTTCCCAAAGTTTGTCTTTTAGTGACTTGGAGGTTTACTCACCACTTCTTCCCGCTTGGTCTTGTCTGTAGCTGGCCAAGCTTCCAGAGGCAGATCAGGAAGGATGGGGGATAGGGGCTGCATGGGGAACATTGGAGGCAGAGGTGGCTGTGGTGCTAGGGGCTGCATAGGGTGCCGAGGCTGCTGGGACTGGATGGGCTGGTGCGCCTGGGGCTGAACGGGCTGGGGATGGTAGGGCTGCTGAAAGGGCTGCTGGGCGGATGGAGGGAGGTTTGGCTGGTGATGTTGGGTTGGAGCTATGGAGTGGTGGCCAGGAACTGGCATCATTGGCTGCTGGGGGACAACAGGCTGTTGAGCTGACACCGCAGGGAGGTGGTGATGAGGCTGAAGGGTGTGACTTGAGGAATGCTGTTGAGACAGCACAGGGATGATTTGGTGGTGCAGCCATCCACCCATGGGTTCGTAACCATAGGAAGGATACTGGTGAGAAACAGAAAGTCAGTTGGCTTAGTTGATTTCCACCTGGAGCAGTGTACTATGTGTTTTATTCCATTCTTTATATAACAGTGTCTATACACAGAGACAACTTTTTATGAACTAAACTCTTAGTGTCTGTAGGTGGAGTGGATAAGATAGTCACTTACAAACAAATTTTAAATACAGTCACTTACAAACAAATTTTAAATACTCTCTATTTCAAAGAAATAAAGAACAACACATATACATACCGGTTGCCTTAACATGCTCTGGTACCATTTCAAAGGGGTAAGCACCTTAGGCGAAAGAAACATTAAGGCACATTTAATTAATTAAATTTAGTATAATGTAAACTATATACTTATTCATTCATTAAGATTATTGCTAGGCTCATTGATGCAGTTCTGCCAATATTATCTGGAAATATGGCTATTTCTCACAAGCAGCTTTGTCTCAAGCTCTGAGGCAACTACCATCATCCTCACTTTTATTGACAAGGTCTGAGGATTTAAAGTGTTTTATTAACTTGTCAAAGTTTATAAAAAGTAGTCATTCTGTTCAATTCTAAAGTCTCTGTCCATTATTGCAAGAAGAAAACAAATAAGCAAAATTATGACATTTTAGTTTAATCCCTTTTTATTTAATCAATGGACATGCCGTTTCTTATCTTCAAAACAGATTTACTGGTACAGTATGTTAACTTTTCTAAGTCTTAACAGAAAAATCTTCTCTCAGACTCTAGCATTTTCTTCAGCTTTGTATGTATAAACAGATTCATGGGTTATTTACTTGAGCCTACATTTAGCCTCAGGTTTGTAACAATCAACTTTGCTCAAATTTGCTGCGTTACAGACATATCTCTGTATTATTCTCTAACAATATTATCATTATTTCCATTCTTTAAAATGTTTTATTTTAGCCAGGCACTTCTCAGAAGGCTGAGTTCCGAGGGTGGCTGTTTCCAGCCAGCCCAGGTGGAAAGACCATGAGACTCATCTTCAATAAACCACCAGAAAACGGAAGTGGTGCTTGGCTCAAGTGGTAGAGTGCAAGCCTTGAGCTGAATTGCTAAGGGACAGTGCCCATGCTCAGAGCTCCACAACCGACAATATATATAATTTTATTCTTGCTGGTCCATGGGGCTTGAACTCAGGGCCTGGGCATTGTCACCTAGCTTTTTTTACTCAAGACTAGAACTCTACTACTTCAGCCACAGTGCCACTTCCAGCTCTTTCTCAGTAGTTTATCGGAGATGAAAGTCTCATAGGGTGGCTTCAAACTACTATTCTCAGATCTCAACCTCCTCAGTAGCTAGAATTACATGTCTGAGTCACCAATGGCTGGCATTATTTCCATTCTATGGAAAAGATAAAGTTTCAGAGAAAGAAAATATTTTTTCTAAGCTTATGTATTTAATGTGGATTTGGTAAGACATCAACACCAGAGCTCTTAAAATTTCCATCACTGTAAAAAGCTTTTCCTACTTGCCACTGACTAAACTCTCAATATCTTAGAATCAGAAATTTTCTATCTAGAAGTCTCAACATCTAGACTAAGCATGACTTAAGATGTTTTACATTCTGACTAAGATGTTTTACATTCTGAACCAGAACAAGTCTATTCAAATCAAATTTACTTTCTGGTTACCAACAAGTCTGCCTGATGGTAAATGATGGATAATATATAGTTATATTGAAGAGAAAGAATCAGAGAACCCAGATAGAAAAGCATAGGACAAAGAAAGCCTGACATTGTCAAGATTTAAACTTACTTGGAAACTAGTGGTGGAAAGTGAAAAGGTATGACTACTTAAGTAATTTCTTAAGACTCAAAACACCCATTAAAGAAATTGTGGGCACTGTTAACTAAAATAATAGTCGAAATTGGTAAATAGAAAAATTACCTCATAACTGAAGTTGATATAACCAGGGTGCCCAGGATGAGGTGGTAGCTTTTATAGAGAAGGGGAAAGAAAAATACAAAAAAGAAAGGAAGGGAAAGAAAAGAGAGTAGAAGAGAGATTCAATCAATATCAATTGTTAATATTAAGGGAGATTCAATCAATTTTTACATCATATAGAATATATATATGAGGGTCTATTTCTTTTACTATGTATGCTGTGAAAAAGAAGCCTCCTATTTTAAAGAGGCTCTTAGAAGCTGAGTTTTCTAAGAGCTAGAGTATATTAGTGGAAGACCTGGAAGCAGAAGCATCATACATTATGAGAATATATAATTATTCTCCAATGATCTCATTTTTCTACCCATCTCTTTGTTGAGTTAACTCCCTCCATGTTGAGAGAACAAACAAACAATTGACCCTGGGTCTTTAAATTAGTTTTTTAAATTTTTTTTATTATTGTGAAAATACCAGACAGAGCGGTTACAATTACATGGGATGGGTAAGATAGTGAGTACATTTCTTATCAAGCATTGTTGCCTCCTCCTTTGTTTCCCCATAGCATCCATTAGTTTTTAATTGCTTAATTATGAATAGCATTTCTTATTGTTAATATGAAAAATAAATAATACTAACAAAAGAAACAACAGAAGTAATGTAACAAAAACATTCAGTTAAATGGAAATACTCTAAATTCTTCAGATTAAAAATATAACAGTTCATTTTATGAAGTTTACTCAATCTTCTTTTTTTATTCAAACTTCTTTACTAATTTCTCTTTTCTCTATGACAAATTATAAGTTTAACATAAAAAGCATATGAATCTTCCTCCAGCAATTACCTCTATTGTCTTCTTTTAAAGTTTTCATATATTAATTTACTCTATTTTTGTAGTATTGACTTTAAACTCTAAGCTTTAGCTTTCTAGACAGTTCCTCTATCATATCACTATCCCATTTTTTACTGGTTATTTTTAGATAAAGTTTTTCAGGAAAATGCCTGAAGAATAACTACCTTTAGACTTCTTATCCTTTGCCATCATGCCTACCTTAGTCCACCAAAACAGAAACTTGAAAATTTTCCTGCCCAGGATGACTTGAAATTTTGATCCTCCAAATCTCAGTCTCTCATACAGTTAGGATGACAAACATGCATCCATAGAACCCATCCATGGATACTGAACTGATCTCACAGACTTTTCTGCCTGGGCTGACCTCAAACTGAAATCTTTCCATTATCAGTCTCTCAACTAACTAGGACTACATGCTTGATCCTACAGTGTCCCACAATAGTAACTTACTTTTATACATACAAATTGTTTTAGTACAGCAACTACCTTTTCAATACTATCTTGTTATAAGCTCTGAGCGTGAGAATGTTGAATCATGGAGTTTCTAATGTCATGTTTCAGAATGTAAAATTCCTAAAAAACAGAGAATTGAATTTTGGCCTTATGTGTGACCAAAAGAGAAGCATATATTTAAGTTCTCTGACTGGTCTTTGATGTATTCAAATATAAGATAATTACTATATATTTGACACATAAGGTAGGATTTCAGACAACTGTGCTAAAATATATCATTTGTTTAACAGAATTATTGAGGCCTCTGAGAGCAGGGACATAGCTCAGGAAGCACATCTTAATAGAGACATTTTACTGGTCCCATAATTAAAAGCTAATTGTTTCAACAAAACGTCCTGAGTGCTTGTTAAATGGAAACGAATGCACTCATTTCACATCTATTCTGAATTTGAATAATTGATGAAAACATGCTTATTTTTAATTGACAATAACTATATATTTATGGGATAGAATGATCTTCTGATATATGTTTATAATGTGTAACATTATAGTGCAACATTAACAAATATTAATACTAATTAATAATTCTATTTCCAACAATCTAGAGAAAATTTGAGTGAAAAGTATCTATATTAGTGACCACCTTAAATGATTATTAAACACAGAGACATTTACTATATAGATGATATTATAAACCCTAGCATTTCCCAATTATAGGAGAGTTTTTCTTTCCAAACATGTAAAATTGGACAGAGACATGGTAAGGTATAATTCACTTACAGGCATAGTGAAGGCTGCTCCCAGCAAGCAGGCAAACAAAATCCATGTTCCCATTTTCTAATGGTTCTGAAATGTAAGTCAACATTTCTTTAAAAATGTGTATCATTACTAGTATAAGTTTGGCAGGGGAGGAGTTGGGAAGCTGGGGAGGGAAGAGATGGTAGGTGATAAACAAAGGAGATGTTAATAATGCTCAATAGGAAATGTACTCATTACCTTACTCATGTATCTGAAACCCCTCTGTACACTCTTTTTACAATAAAAAAACATTAAAATGAGTATCATTAATGCTTCATAAAGACATATAATAAATTACTTGTTGCTAGAAAAAGAAGAATCATTGTATGTAAGGTAACTGTTCAAATGCATTATTTCTCGTCAGAGTAATGTAAGTTAGCTTTTAATTAACCATGGAACTAAAGCAATTTTTAAAGCATCATAGCTTGTGATAATGTGTGTGTGTGTGTGTGTGTGTGTGTGTGTGTGTGTGTGTATATATATATATATATATATATATATGCATAAACACACACACATATTTGGGGCCTGGGCTTTCCTTGAGCTACTTTTGCTCACAACTCCATTGCCAGCTTCATTTTTTGGTAGTTTATTGAAGATAGGAGTCTCAAGGAACTATGACCCTTAGAGCTCAGCTTCCTAAGTAGCTAGAACTATAGGAATGAGCTACTAGCACCAGCTTTTACATGATGATATTTTGATGTTTTTTGCTGTATTTGATATATAGTTACTGAAGCTTCTGTAACCCAGAGTCATAGAACATTAATCTAATTTATAATTACATAAGAACAAACTCAATCTAATTCTTTAAAATAGAAAGCCAAGAAATATTTTACGTTGTGATATCTAGTTTTTAATACTGTTGGACAGTATGAAAAAAGTATTATGGTACTGTTTTTGTTACAACAGTATCAAAAACAAAAATTAAGATGAAGAAAGGACATGAATAAGGGTCTAGATTTGCAATTTTGTAGAACTTCAGGCAAGAACCTTGAAAATACATTCTTAGTTCAATATATATATTGCAGAAATATCTAGTATAGGTATGAGTCAAGCGGAAAAAGTCAGATAATGTGATGTTAGGAAAACGAAACCTCAAATATGTATTTTAATGTTTTTGCTTCTTTCATGCATGTATCTCTAACGCATTTATAAGATTATCTCTTTGTTGCTTTGTATGTCCCTCCCCCACAGTGTAACCCCCGCTTTCACTATATTTGATGTCAGTATAACATGTGGAGGAGATGGGGACAAACAAGTCGTTTAAGGATTCAGGTGGACCTGTTGCAACAATGAGAAGTACAAAATGTCATGTCAAAACCAGCTTTACAATGTCGGTGAGGGGGGGAGTGGGGGGGTATGATTGGGTGGGAGGGAGGGGGGAGGCTGGGAAGGGAGGTGAAGGGTAAACAAAGGAGGAGGCTGCAATGCTTGGTAAGAAATGTATGCATTATCCTGCCCATGTAATTGTAACCCCTCTGTACAGTATGTTCTCAAATAAAATAAAATAAAATTAAAAAAAAATATATATATATATATATTGCAGAAAATGAGACTAAATACAAGTAAAAGAGCAATAATATTCTGTGGGTTTTCAATGAATTTTTCATAATTTCTATTGTAATAGGTTTACTTTTTTCAAATTTTAATTTTCTCTAATCAGATACTGCATTTAGTTAGCCCACAAATTATATATGCTAGAGAAAGAAAAACAGACCCATAGCTAACAATGTAAATAGAAAGTCCATAGAAAGATATTTTTACAAGCTATGCATCATACAAGGGTGTCATATCTAAAATATAATTAGAGCTTAAAAAATTAAACCCCCCCCTCAAATAAATGCTCTAAGAAGCAACAACCCACTTCATAAATTGGCTAAAGACTTAAAGAGAGCTTTCTTCAAAGAATAAATAAGAATAGCCAATAGACAAATGAAGAGATGTTCAACATCTCTGGCCATAAAAGAAATGCAAATCACAACAACATTGAGATTCCACCTCACCCTAGTTAGTGCGGATATTATCAAGAAAATTAACAATAACAAATGCTGGCAGGGAAATGACCAAAAGAGAATGTTACTGCACTATTGGTGGGAATGTAAACTTATTCATTTGATATAGATAGCAGTATGGAGGTTCCTCAAAAGACCATATAGAGCTACCCTGTGACCCAAACAATCCTACTCCTGGGCATTTATCCAATAGAACACAAACAGGCTACAATAAAGCTACCAACACAACCATGTTCACTGAAGCATTGTTTGCAATAGCTAAGCTATGGAATCAACCTAAATGCCCCTCAATGGATAAAAGGATCAAGGAAATGTGGTAGATATACACAATGGAATGCTACTGTCAGAATGATATTGTACCATCCATAAGGAAATGGAACGACTTGTAAAAAATTATATAAGCAATGAAAGCTAGACCCAAAGAAACATAGGTTGCATGGTTTTCCTCATTTGTGGTTAGTAGAATGTGCCTATAAATCTACAAGTAATTACACTTGATAGTAAAAGAAAATGTACTTGGACATGATAAATTATTCAGGTGGATAAGCATTCACACAGAGTGAGACTAAAGGAGAATACTCTTAAGAGAGGACCACATAGGCATAATAGTTATGTGCATCTGACCATATAAAATAGTATTTATTGAAGTGAATTCCAAGTGAACTTCTTTGTTAGGATTTTGTTTTCATTTCCTTTGTCTTGTTTGTGGGACAAAGGATAAACAAATGCAGCAGTGATAGTCACAAAGCCCTATATTGAAAATAAACTATACAACTTGCAGTTGGGGACAGGAGGGAAAAACTGGGGGATAGCGAGGGAAAGAATGACACTATTCAAAAAGAAATACAGTCATATCTGACTCATATAACCATAATACCACTTTATATTACCTTGCAATAACAATAAATTTCTTTAAATGTCCATTTTATGATCTGTACAATATTTAATTAAAAATTTTAAAGTTTTACATATCGGAAATATACACTGGATATTATATAATGTGTATACTGTATAATGAATAATCTTAAATGAGAACTATACTGAGAATAATTAAATAAATTTGAAAGGTTTAGAGTAGAAAATATGAAGAAAATACTTAGCAGATGGTTCCATGTAAATATGTTCTTACTTTATGTACTTAACAAGATTTTTTTTTAGTAGAAGACCCGAGCCTGAGGATCTTTGTTTATATTTAGTTGATAACTAAAATAAATATTTGATTTGTTTTCACTAAGTCCTTTTGAGTTCTATAATTTTTATAAATAAAATATATCTACTTTAATGCCTAACAAGTAAAAAATAAATAACAAATATTTCAGCTAGAGTCCAATTGATAAAATAACTTTCATAGCATTGGTACTAGAAATGTAGAAATAGCTGTTAAATATGAAATCATGTAATATAAGTAAAAATAATATATGCAAATATACATACCTTTGAATGTCTTTTGAGTAAGTTTCTGTTTTAAATACAAGAATGATGAATCCTTTAGATTCATTACAAGTATGAACTCAATTTATATCACTCATTTTATGTAGAACAGCCAATCAGATTTATAAAGCAATAAATGTGTTGACTCTGACTAAAAAGTCCTATGTCATGGACTTTTAGCAACCATGTCATACTTAGAGCTGTATATATTGTGATTATCTAACATACTCTTTCATTACAGGTAATAATATGTTTAACATGCAAATTTTAGGCTGTGCTATGGTCAGAAATTAGTTGATTTACACATGTAGATACATCCAGACATACTCTTTAGAAGATGTTATATCATTACTTTGGAGGAGTAAAATTTGGAAACTGGCTGTATTTTCTGATTTCCCAAGTATCTTTTATTTGATAAGGATGGATACATTTCACTCTGCTAGTTATAAAAGGGAAAAGTTGTGCCTCTCATTCCCATTCAGAAAACTTTGACAATTACTGAGATTATTCTGGTAATTACCATGGTATTAAAATATTCACTAGAAATCTGAAAGTAAAGTAAATAATGTTTGATTGAGAGTAGTATTATGACCATTTTTCACTATCATTTCCAAAGACTTATTTCACTTAATATAATATTCTACATGTTCATACTCATTGCCATACATGACAAGTGTTTCTTTTTATAAGAGTCTGTATTATTCACTGAATATTAGGGTTGTTGTTGCATTTATCTGCTGAAGTGGCTTTGATACTTTATCTTTGCAAATTGTGCTGCAATGAACAAAGGAATGGAGCTGTCTCTTCAACATATTGATTTCATTTCTTATGAATATTCATCCAGTAGAGGAACTTTTGGATACTATGATGGTTTTATTTTTTTGAGGAACCACCACTGTTTTCCATTAAAGGCTATACTAAGTTGCATCAACAGCAGGAAAAGTTTCCTTTCAGCCCATATCCTGGCAAAACTTATCTTCCTTTTTTTTTTGCAATACTCTGAGGTTATCAAATGTGACTTGACATTATGGTATCAAAAATCTATTTGTTATGCATTTGCTGCCTGATGAAGAATGTTGGAGTTTTTTCACACATTTCTTTCTTATTTGCATGTCTTCTTTTATATATACATATACATACAAATTATATTAATTATATATATATATATGTATATTCTGTCATAGGGTTTGAACTCAGAGCTTGGGTGGCGTTCCTGAGCTCTTTTGCTCAAAGATAGTGCTCTACCACTTTGAGACATAGCTGCACTTTATCTTTTTGAGTGGTTAATTGTAGATCAAAGTCTCATGGGGACCTTTCTGCCAGGGTAGCAAATTGTCAGATTCTAAGATCTCAGCCTCCTGAAGATTATAGGCATGAGCTGCCAGTGCCTGGCTTCTTCTCTATAATTTTTTAACATTTTTTTTCTTATTTTTTGTAGTATTATAGTTTTAAAATGGGGTCTTAAACTCATTAAGCAAGTAATCATTGAATGAGCCCTTTTGCTCTGATTCTTTTGAGATAGAATCTCATATGTAAACCCAGGCAAGTCTGAAATGTGATTTTCATGTTTATACTTCCTACAATAATAAAAAT